ATTTTTTCAATTTTCTGCTAAAAGTATTAGAGTCAATTGAGAATAATTTTCAATAATTAATTACTTTGTAAAATTTTAAGGCTTATTGGATAACATAAATTTAAACTGGTACCATCTTTTTGATAGGCGTTGTGAGGGTGTTATAACCTTCCTCACACGTAACCGAACTCTCGAACCCTGTTCTGATTAGTAAACTTGAACCTATTCTTTTAGGGACCCTTAAACTTAGGTGTTCCCTGAAAGGACAGATTCTTAGGTGACCAATCGCACATAGATAAAAAAGATTGGTGGCGACTCCCTTAAGTCAATGTCTAGCAATAGATCTCTGGATCTAGACGTTATGTCAGGTAGAATTAAATTATTATTAGAATTATTGGCCTTGATATTTTTGAAATAAAGGTTGTTTCTTGATGCAAAAAATTTTAAAAAATTGACTCTACGATGTGTAGGTCTTTCTTCAGTAATATCTTCTAAAAACCAATTAGTGGGAACTAAAATGTCTCTTATATTCATCAATCTGAGTTTGATTTCTGAATCATAAGATCTTGGTTCAAAATTTTCTATAATTTTTGAATTTATTTCTTTAATAGTAGTAGCAGCATGATTTGTTAATTCATAAGTTGTTATCCAATTTATGGATAAATCATGAGCTACCTCTCTTATATCAAAATTTTTTGTTTTAATTCTAAGTCTGAGATAGTTTTCTATTAATGGATCATTACTAGAAATAAAATAATTTGGTTTTACTTTAAACCAAATAGCTTCTGAAACTAAATGTGATTGGATACCTCTTATTATTGATTTAACAAGATTGGTAAATCTTTTGTCAATTAAAACAGCAAAAACAGGTATGTCTGTACTTGCAATAGAAAGAGATTTTATTATAATCATAATTATGCCAATTTGTATATATCTAACTTTAGGATACTTTTGTTTAAATTTATTAATTTTTTTTTAAAAAAAGGTATATCAAATGATCTTTGTTTAGAATCATTTGCTATTGTATCACTATTGACTTTTTCCATATAACGTTTTACCCATGGTTGAAATTTTTTTAAAAAATGAATATTTATAAATCTCATCTTTTTTAATGATTTGCATTTTTGAAATCTCATCCTTTGTTAGATTATGAGATTCTCCTAACACACATCTCTGAGATAAGTCATCTGTTGTGTTTCAGTATAATATATTTTAGAGTTTGTTTCTTCATTATTATTTACTTCAACTAGATTAGTAGAAGTATTCATCATGAAGATATATTCTATTTCAGTGTAACAAAAATCTGATTCTATTTCAGAAATTAATTCATAAATAATTTATTCATCAAATAAGTCTTCACCAAAATAAATTGATAATTCTCGTTCTTCGAGAGTTTTTATAACTTTTCTAGTACTTTTTCCTTTTTTAGGACACCGTGGTGCTACGTGACCTTTTTTTTTACAAATAAAACATTTACATTTTGATTTTGGTTTATTAGAAGATTTTATTCTAATAACCAGTTTCTTTCCTTTGGTAACCTTGTTTTTAGGTTTCCATTTGACCATTTTATATCTTTTTTGTTTTCTATATTTTTTGTAATAAGATTTGGTCTGTTTATTACAGCCAAATTCTAATTCATGTTATAAGATCTTAGTGCATTGTTTATCACTAAGTTTGTTTTAAACTTGTTTTTTAGCAAAGTAAACTTTATTTCCTATTGTATCACAATGAAACATATTATTATTACTAGTAAAGGTTTTTTAATGTAAATCTAAATAAGTAGGATAATTTTTTAAACATAATTCATCCCATGATAAGGGAAACTTATGAAAATATTACTCTTTCCAAAATGCTAAAAGTTGTTCATCCAGCTTTTGATATTGACTAAAATATTTTTTAGATAAAGTTTCTAAATTTCTAATATTACAGAGTTTTATTTTGGATAGAATAAATTGAGCTTCACTTTTTATGTCAACTTCATCCAATCTTCCACAAAACTCATTTTTGAGTATTAGTGTTAAACCTTTTAAAAGATCAGGAATTGTGGTTATTTGATTAAGGAGATTCTTTTTTTTGGGTTTTTCCTTATTCAACATTTTCTCATTTTTTTTAAAAATTATAGAACATCTCCTTGCCATGTTCCACAAAAATAGTTTAAAAACTTTTCTTTAGTATGTGAATCTTTGTAGCTGGTTACTACAATAGACATAGATTATGCCTAATCTTCTATGGGTTTTTCATAGTCAAAAATTAAAACTTTGGATAAATCTAAATATGTACCATCAAAAGCAACATTTCTCTTGTTTAGAAATTCAACATTCATAAAACTTTTGGAGGTTTGCCCAATTTGTTCTGTTTGTTTGATTTCATCCCTATTTGTATGTTATTCAACAATTTCGAGATTTAACATATCTGAAAATCTTAAAATATCATCAGTTTTGGGTTAGAAACTTCACCTACATTTTTTTTACCTTGATCAACTTTTTGTTGATATGTTTTCATAGGACTTGGATCCATATAGGTTTTTTCTTCTTCTAAAGAAAAAGTGTCTGTATCTATATTTGTAACATTTGTTTCTTCTTTAACTATTGGGTTAGTAGCTAAAATGTTATCTTGATTATCATAATTACTTTCAGCAGTTGTATCATAATTAAGCATATAATGATAATCAAATTTTTTGAAGATAGCTTTATGGGTTTCATAAAATTTTTTTATCATATTCAAATACTCAATCATTTGTTTAGAATCGTTTGTTTTTTCTATTTTAAACTTCAAATGTTCAATCAAACTTTTGTAAGATTGAAAATCTAATTTCTTTTGTTTAGAGAAATGTAAAGGATTTGATGATGATGATGGTTTATTATCATTAAGAGTTATTATGGTATTTCCATAATAAAGGGGTCCTAAATCATTTTTTTTATTTTTTATTCTAATGTGATTAATATTATCAATTTTATCTTCTATTTTATCTATTTTTACAAACAAACGTTTTAAAAAAGTAATAGATAAATCTACTAAACTATTTATACTATGACTGATTGTCTGAGATTGTGATTTTAAGTGAGGTTCAATATGCAAGCTATGGTTATAAGTTTTTTTTGGACTTATACAATTTTCTTCTAATTATTTCATGTTTTTGGTACCTAAAACCTTCTATTTTTCATTACAGATTTCTTAAAGCTAGTTAAAACAGCTTAAACAAGCAAAGACCAGCAGGAAATCAGAAAAACAAATATATGGGTTTCAAAATATCAAACAAACATCAGAAAATTAGTAGAAGGACAGAAAGACATGCAAGATAGATGCTAATCAAACGCTTTATATATATCCTACAATCTGAAAAAGAAAAAAACAACAAGCTTAAACAAACTCTGATACCATTTACAAAGATAACAAAAACAAAGGAAAAGATAGAAGAGAAGATGATGGAATATTACAGAGAGAATGGTCAGAGGAAATGAAAGAGAGAGAGAAGTGAGAAATCAGAAGAGGATTCTCTGCCTTTTCTACAAGCTTCTATCACCTTCACATATACCAGTATCTATCCTTTTCAAGGCAACGAACTTCAAAGTCTTTCAATGCACCCCTGGCCGCTACCCATGGATAAAAAGGAAAACAAAAGACCTTACAGTTTCCCATTTTTTTTTACTATCATTGAAGCTTTGATTCACTTTTATCTAAGTATAAAATTTGAAAGTTGATTTGTAGCACCAAGTGTCATTTCTGCTTAGACCTTTGCAAAATTTGAGAGCTTAACAGAAAATTTGTCACCAGTGATTAATTTCTCTTAATTCCTTGTGGGGCACAAGAAGAGAAGCAGCCTAGATATTATAAAATGAAACAAGCACAGATTTTATAGAACTGAAAGGCGAATCTTAACAGTATATAGGAAAAGAGATATGCCATACAAATTGCAATTCTCCACTCTATTACTATATCTAGATACATCATAATGCAGAAAAAGAAAACATACTATAAATACTCACATTATTAGCTGGTGGAATAACTTTCTGTTCATACTTGCGATATGTTCTTCTACGAACACCTTTGTGAGGACTGTTTCTGATTCAAATGTGGCTTTTACTAGCTCCAGTCCCTAAGAAATCAACAGAAACTCAATTTTTGTCAGTTATATACAAACAGTCAGCTGAAACAAAGGGAAGAAATATATACAGTGAATAAAGACCTTTAAGTTGAATTGTGTCACAAAAAAGATTGAAGCCCATCTTCATCTGCTTCTCTATATATGGGGTTGAATATCATGATACTGCAATTAACAAAAGTAAGGCTCATGGCATTGTCTGATGTCTAGCTTTGCAGCGATAAAGGACTTTGAAATAATCAACAGCAAGACATCGGCCTTCAATACGAATTTAAGATGTTTAGGGGACAAGAAAAATCAACTAGAAAACAGATTTTTTTTTTTCAAGATTGCAGAATCTAATCTTCTTGTAGTTTGTGCAAGATTTGCTACGAATGCATCAGTCGTTGTCGTCCAGCCATGAGGCACTGGCAAGCAAATGACACCAAGGCCTTGTTGCTTCCTTTTTTTTTTTTGAATTTTACAGTTTACCCATGATCCCCTACTCTTTATACTTAGTTAGCTGAAGAGCACGTTACGAATTCATTTGAACCCACAATCTTCAAACCTTTGAAAAAACCTCATGTCAATTGATCAAAACATCAATGGGCAGTGCTCTATCTTAATTCTTACATTTCAACATAATATAAATAAACAAATCAACCAAAGTACATTCTTGGAACCGGTAAAGCAACCAAGCAACTTCTAATTGTATCTCATCTCTGTTGTTGTTAGTTAAGATCTAACAGTATAGCGGCAGCCTTTGATTATCTACTAAACTACTAGCAGTATTGAGGACCTTGTCATTGCAAATATGTAGTCAAGTAATGGGATGCACTATTTTTAGTCAAAGGGTTTAATGTCTTGAATCTTGTTCATTCAATCTTTAAACCGCTCAGATATATAGATTTCATTTGTCTGCAAATTCTTTGGATTTCTTATTTGTCACCTCTTCGCAAGCAGAGAATCAGGTAAGCTTTGTATCCTTAAACAAAGTTTAGATATAAAAAGCCATAATAACATCGCAAGAAAACTGGTTTGACCAAACTCAAAGAAGCACTAATTTATTCAAAAGTCAAAACCTTGTCACACATTCTTACATCATCTTCAAATTTGAAAAGCATTAAGGAATAACATTGGAAAGACCTCAGACACAAACAAAAACTAACAGCATTTGCTTATTTTTCCATAATTGAGGCCCACGACACTTAAAATGTTTTCACCATTGATATTAGCCTGAAATCTCAATGGCCTTAACCTCAGGTTTCTTCTCCTCCTCCTTGGGGACAGTCACGGTCAGGACACCATTTTCCATGGTAGCCTTAATCTGATCCATCTTTGCATTCTCAGGCAACCTAAACCTCCTCAGGAACTTCCCACTGCTTCGCTCAACACGATGCCACTTGTCATTCTTCTCTTCTTGCTCTTTGCTCCTCTCCCCACTTATCTGAAGAATCCTCCCTTCTTCAACATCAACTTTCACCTCCTCTTTCTTCAGCCCTGGAAGATCAGCTTTGAAAACGTGAGCTTCTGGTGTTTCCTTCCAATCAATCCTTGCATTAGCAAAGGCCCAAGTTTCGCGTGCTGAAGAAGGCAGATTGAGAGCCAATGCAGAGTTGAAGAACCCATCGAAAGGATCCCATACATCTAGAGAAAATGGATCAAAGACATTGGTTCTTCGGCCACCAAGAAGGCTAGGAATGAGTGACATGCCTGCAAAACTATAAACAAAGATTAACACAAAAATGAAAAGAGATGTCTACACTCTACAAAGTAAGCAAACAAAGGCTTCAAGCTTCAATTGTATTTTTCCACAATGGAATTTGGTTGTGATCAGAATGCTATATATAGAAGTGATTCAAGTGAAAGAGGCTTCTAGTTTCGATATGTCAATGGTCAAAATAACAGTAGTTTAGCAGTTGCAAGAGTTTTCTGGTAGCTTCATGGCATTTCTCCCATTATATTATTCATTCCTAACTTTAGCAAAAGTAATAATTGAAACAAATTTTCTTAAATGGATATAAACACATATTATATTCTTCTTCTATGATATTCTACAAGCTTCATTATATTTTGATGTGGAAATTTGGGTACTAGAAAATTGGGTACTACAATTCCTTTTGGGGTCCCTGCCAGGGGATTCTTGGCGGCCCAAAATCAAAAGACTGGGAAGGTAGCAGCCCAAGGGGACAAAACCAACACATATATACACCGTACCAAATAATTCTCCCATGCCTTTCCTTTCTGTCTCTTCAATTTAAAGCATATATTTAGGAAAACATAGCAGAAAAATATGTCAGAGGTCAAAACCAAACACTAATGTTCCTGTGAAACATATGGAAATTTATAATAGAATTAAGCTAAGGTTGCTTAATCGTTCATGAAACAAACTTAATCAAATTTGGAATCCTCTTGTCTTGATTGCTATGTATAAGATCCCATTGGTGTTGGAATGGAATGCTGGCCCATGCACTTTCGTCCGAGCTATTCTACCAGGAAAAAAAAAAAACTTGAATTTCTATCTATCAGTAATGCCCTTAAATTTTCCTAAGCTGATGGTCAAAGCTTAATGAATCTCTGTCATTAGTCTTTTTCCTACATTCATTTCAGGCAATGGACACCCTGATGAATCATTCGTTTTAAGTTGGAAATAGTCAAATTGGTAGTTAGTTGTTGTTGCCAACTCTGAAAAGGAAATGAACATTGAAAAGAGCTGCAGATATTAGGAATTTATTTCCAGATGGATGCTTCATGATCATCAGAAACGAATTGAGGGTTTTGCCAGTGTTAGAAACTTAGAATAATGGTAGCGTTGCTTTCAAAGCGTGATCTGATTAGGAAAAACAAGATAACTATGAAACATTGGAAATCGAACACATGTAACCATCCATTAAACCCTAACTTCTTTAATAGCACGAATGAATCAACTGCATTAATTCTCAAATTTGAATCAGATATTCTTTTTTAATATAAAAAAATTAAATTAAATTATCTGAAATTATATTTAAATAAGTCAGATAAAAAATTCAAGATTTGATTTGGGTTTTATCAACTTCTAAATAAAAAAAAAATTTACTTGGAGACCAACTTACATTATGAGTTATAAACCCAGAGATAAATCTAAAATTAACCAACAATGTAAACAAATTTGATAGCAGCCATTTGACAAATTGACATGTTTTCCCTTCTCTGTTTTTTTTTGTTTTTCTCTGTTACATGTGTTCCATGCGGTAGGCTGAATTGCTATATTTAATCGTTAATCATATTTCTTTTTTACTCAAAGATTAAGGTAAGAGGTCTCTTTGACTAGACATGTACCCAGAAAATTACAACTGGTATTAGGCATTTTCTTTTGATTGTACATATAAAAGTCATTTAAATCTATCTTGTCTTATCATCCCAGATCACCATCCCTCCATCCTACTTTTCAACCCTAACAAACATTTCTTTCAAACATCAAACCATGTACATACAAACCCAAATAATTTCAAGAAATCTAAGTTGTAACCAAAGCATTTTTCTCAATTTTTTAAAGTTAAAATCTTACAATATCAAAATTTTTTTAATATTATAGGTAGACTTGGCAATTTTAGCATAATATATATATGGACGTAATATGAAAACAATATAAAAAAATATGAAAGCAACCCAGTTTTAAAATTTTAATAAAAATTATATATATATGTGTATGAGTTTAATAAAAAATAAAAAAAAATTGATATGTCGATATAAATTATTATGCAATAATTTTGTGTTTTATACGTGTTTGACATAAAATAAATACAATAAAAATATATAAATTGCCATATCTAATTGTAGGATAAGCTAGCTAGGCATTCTGTTGATCTTGGAAAGGAGCCGTAGAAAGCAAATTAATCATTTACGATTTTCTAAAGCATAAACGATGGATCTGCGTAAAAGAGAAGGGAATAAAAATGATATGTTCGTAATACTAGTAGCAAGTAATTCTTGTGAACCATTGGTTATGGGGCAGCATTCGTTCTTTGGAGATAGTCTACATGAGCATATTCATATTCCGTTGACTGAAATTATTGGGGAATAGCAATAGCCATTTGTAGTTGTTGATGTCGAGTCAAGAGAAACGAAATGGTCCCAAAAGATAGCTTTGGATCCTCATTTAGAGGCTTCTAACTTGGAAATAGATATATATAATCAGTGGCTAATAAGAGTTGGCACAAATGGTCAAAATTTAAGGTTTGGATGCAAAGCATTCAAGTTTAAATCTCCAGTCTCCTATTAATAGATAATATTTATATTTGAAAAGTCTTAAAAAATTTATAAATCCTCTTATGAATTGACTATTTACCTAACTTTAAAGATAGGATAATCTTTCAATTCCTAAACTTTTTTCGACCAAAAATAAAAAAAGATATATATAATCAGTGCATGCATGGTGGGGCTTCCAAAAATATGGAACCCACCAAAATAGTGAAAATATATGACTTCTTTTGGGTTCTTGTTTTCAAGCTTTTTCCCACAATTCTTTCAGCTTTAACATTAAAAATGCTGTGGACAACTGCATATGTTTTTGGTGAATGGACTGAATGATAATTCATTTGATAATTTAAAAATTTCACCCACTATGTATGAAATAATAATCTTTAAAAAGTTCTAGATTTTACAAGAAAAACCCTGTTAGATCTAATTGAACATAACTACTGTTTTCAACTTTTGTTCACTTAAGCTATAATCAAGGAGAGAAATTAACACTATTTGTTAATGAGTAGGCTTCATGACTATTTAATTATTACCTTGAGCATTACACTTTTTTTTTCTCTTTGTAAAAATAATTTTAATATAAAAATCGGTTTTAGAATCAAAATCACCATGATAATTGAAAAGAAGAAAGTGATTTGTCGTCTCATTCACAGATAAAATCATGCAAAAAGATATTGATCAATCAACCCATTGACATTTCACTAGCTGACAGAGGAACCCCCCCCCCCCCCAACTGATCTGATCATGGCTTTTGGTGAACTTCTGGAGTAGTGAATACTATAATATTTGGGTTAAATCCTCTTCATTAAAATGTTTACAAAAGGCATAGGCTTGGGTGCATTAATGTTTAGGGATTTAATGCAACTATCTCTTGGATCAGTTGACATATTATTGGAGTTGATACTTAAAAGTCATGAGTTCTAAGAAACATATATACATAATATCTTCTTCAATCAGATAATTAATAGGGTAGAAAATTTTGAAAATAAATTAAAATTTTCAAACAAAAAATGCTTAGGGACTTAATAATATCGTGGTTATTACATGTAACAAACCAAGGAAAAGGGAATTTTTTTTAATTCAGCAGGCTTCATGCTTTTAAAAGTGAAAAAAAAAAAAAAAAAAGAGAGAGAGAGAGAGAAGATTTGGTCCATTTTAAATACATTCTCTTTTTTCTTTCTTACATTTCTTCTCTTTTGCACATATAAGATATCAGCTATCAAATCTAATACCGCCTTCTCATCCAATATTCTTAGATGCCGGATAGGATCCTTCAAAATCAAGCCAAGTTATCACCCATTTTTATTTTATTTTATTAGCTGTTAATGTCTTTTCCACAAAGAATCAATTATAAATTTAAATTTGAATAAGCAATTCCATCCACAAGTCAACACTTGAACTTTAATTCGGACACATCTTATCGACTCATTATATATCATTTTGCTAACTGAATATTAGTTCAGATGACATGACATTTGATATAGTTTTTGAAGATTTCATATTTAAAAAATCATACGTCTAATATTCTTTTAGTTGAGTAATTTTGAAACCGACTTTTGTTCCTTGGCGTTTACAAGATTCTCGAGTTTCATAAAAGAAAAGAATAACAAAACTTACATTTTACCGATTTCAAAAGTTAATATAAAGGCATTGAAGGTTATATTCCTGGGTATGAATTTTTAAAAGCTTCAAGTTCAAAGAGGCAAGAAGATTCATGAAAAGTTTTCGATAATTGCTTTTTTTTTATATATATAATTTTGGCCTAAATATGTTTCAAGAGAATATTTAGAGAATGACTTGCCGAGGTAATTGGCAAATGGCAACTTGCATGAATGTCTTTTCATATATGTTTTTGAATAAACACCATCCTTTTACAGGGTGTCAGTGAATTAAACTTTTTTTTTCTTAATTATTAATACCTGCTTGACCTTCACTTTGTTATTTGCATTCCCGTTGTCTCATTTTTCTTATCGTTTTGTCGATAGAACATGTGCAGATGATGGTTCATCATCTTGCATGCATGCATGCATGCAGTTGCATCTTTATCTCAGCCCAGACAAAATCTTTTTGGAAAACTAGCACTGCCACACAAGCCAGAATCAAAGATTATATAGTTAAAAGTGTTTTTCGAAATTTTGCATCGATTTTACTGAAAAACATGTACATTGAAGGAATGCAAAGAACTTGACTCATGTTTATATAGTTATTTTTAAATAATAATATTTAATAATTTTAAATTTTAATAATTATAATTTTTTTATCTCGATGTTGCGACTCTTTATAAAAAAAAAGACGGTAAAATATTAATGGATTTTGTTTTGGTTTGAGATTTGAAATGATGAATAAAAAACGAACTGGAATTATGCTGTCCAATGATATAGGACAAAATTTATGTTTTCTGAGTTTTTATTTTACATTTCAGAGAAAACAAACACTGTCAAAAATATATTTTAGAAGAGATAATGGATAGAAAATCCTTTGCAACATCAAAGAATTGCTTAATTAATTAATTAAGGACTGTATTTGAGATTGAAGGTGAGCTTTGGCGTAATTAGTAAGGTTGTTGTCATTTGATCTGATAGACACGAGTTTGAGTCGTGAAAACATTCTCTTATTAAAAATATAAAAAAAGATTGCGTACAATAAAATTTTTCCCGGATACTCATTCCATAGCTGGAGCATTTTATGCACCGTGCTACCCTACCCAATTGTGTTTTGAAATTAATCCCAAATGCTTGATCAATCGATAATGATACTTTGCTTCAGCTTTGACATCACTCCAAGGTTTCAAATGTTGGTTAAAAGAGGTTGAAGATTTTACAAGAAACACTTCTTTAAAGGAATTGCTTTTACTAGAATCAAATCTGCTCATTCCTAAACCCAGTTCAATTATGTTACTTCCGACATTGATATGATACACTTTTTCATGTCTTCCTTTTACAACTCCTTCATATGAAATGATCAAAAGGAGAAAAAAATATCCCTTCCTTGGAATGTTTTCTTTAGATTACTTTTGCTTTGTAGGTGGAAAAGAATGCTTAAACTAAGGAAAATGTACATATATAAACATAATTGCTTTTTTTTTCCTTTTAAAGAAATTTAACTTTACACAAATTAAAAGAAAAAGTAAAAGAATTGTTATTCAATTCTAAATTGATAATGGAGTTTAAAAGTGTAGTTTACTACAAACAAATTTACATTTTTTTGCATTTCTATTTCACCAAAAATATTAATTTCATAACCTTTATATGAATTTTAGATACGTAGATGTATAACAACATAGAGTATAAATTACCTAATGAAGTTTCTTTTTTCATAAAAATTATATATAATAGATTCTTCATTTTACTATTGTACCTTGTTACTTTCTTTTTCATTTAATTTGATTCTTGTTGGACCTGTTATAACATATAAATTCAAAATTTTATAATTAGATTTAACAAATAGATTCGTTACCAATTTTTTTTATTTAGGTGTGATTAGCCACCTAAGAAATTTATCATTTTAAAGAGCTCCTAAGCTTGACTAAGAGTCCTTAAAAAAATAAGTTCGGATCTACAAACCAGAATAGAGTTCAGAAGTTTAGTTACATATGAGAAAAGTTATAGCACTCCTATATGCTCATCCTAAGGATGCTACCATATTATTTTAAATTTATCATAAAGCCTTGATTTTAATGGTCTTAAATTTTATATTGAATATTAGAAATAACTTTTAAGATTCTTCCATTAATCTAGTAGAACTCTTAAAAAAATTCTCTCACCTCAAGAGTATTCAACAATCCCATTTGTTTTCTTGAAAAGGCTCCGCCATTGAAAAAAAGTTTAATTAATTATTTTTTTTATTTTTATTTGGTTTTTATTATTGAAAATATATCTAATTATTTTACCATTTGGGCCAAATTAAAAATATTTTATCTTTTTTTAAAAAATTTTGGAAAGAAAATAATATAACAATTATTTTCTTGAAATTTCATTTAAATTCTTCCACCATTTAGGATAAATTTAAAGAAATTTCTCACCTAGAGATTTCTTAGGAGTTTACCATTTGAAATTTCTAAGATTCTCATCTTTGGATAATTGTCAAATATTTTCAACCAAAATTTTTATTTGGAAAAGAATACATTTACTTTTGTTGAAATTTCATCTAAATTATTCTACAATTTGGGACAAATTTAGAGAAATCTCTCACATAAATATTTTTTAAAATTTACCATTTAAAATTTCTAAGAATTTCATCTTTGGGTAATTTGTATTTAATTCCAAAATTTTATTTAAATTTTTTTATTTTTTTGTTTGAAAATAAATATTAATTATTGTTATTGAAATTTTATCTAAATTATTCCACAATTTATGACAAATTTAGAAAAAAAATTCCTCACCTAGGAATTTATAAAAATTTACCATTTGAAATTTTTATAAATTTCATCATTAGATAATTAATACTTATTCTTAAAAAAATTTATTTTTTACTTTTTTTAAATTTTTTTCAAATTTAATCATAAAAAATACTAAAAAAATAAACACATAAATAAAATACTAAATAAAATACCAAAAAAAAATAAAACGGCTTGGCTTTAGCTACTCGACTTCAAGTATAGAATGCTACTCAAAGACTTGGCTCGGAGAATTGGTTCGGCTAAGCTCGGCTAAAGGGTTTAGTTTGGGATGCAGGTCGACAGAGCGGGTTGTGTTCAGGTTGGATCACTTGAACAAAAAACATGCGAATACTAATGGGTATTTTAAAGCCAAAACGATGTTGTTTTGAGAGCGATATAAAAGCCTAAACCCGATAGTTTTCCTTAGATTTTTTTTCTCTACTCTCTCTTCCATTTCTTTTCTCTCTCTCTCTCTAGAACATGATGAACAGGAACTTGCTTTTACTAGCATCAAATCTGCTCATTCCTAAACCCAGTTCAATTATGTTACTTCCAATATTGATATGATGCATTTTTTCATGTCTTCCTTTTACAATTCCTTCATATGAAATGATCAAAAGGAGAAAAAAAAAATCCCTTCCTTGGAATGTTTTCTTTAGACTACTTTTGTATTTTAGGTGAAAAAGAATGCTTAAACTATGGAAAATGTACATATATAAACATAATTGTTTTTTTTTTCTTTTAAAGAAATTTAACTTTACACAAATTAAAAAAATAGTAAAGGTATTGTTATTCAATTCCAAATTGATAATGGAGTTTAAAAGTGTAGTTTACTATAAACAAATTTACATTTTTTTGCATTTTTATTTCACCGAAAATATTAATTTCATAACCTTTATATGAATTATAGATATGTAGATGTATAACAACATAGAATATAAATTACCTAATGAAGTTTTTTTTTTCATAAAAATTATATATAATAGCTTCTTCATTTTACTATTGTACCTTGTTACTTTCTTTTTCATTTAATTTGATTTTTGTTGGATCAATTGGCTAAAAACTCTAGACATGGTTGAGCTCATGAGATCCATATAGAAAAATGACTCAATAGTGTAAATGATAAAGATTTCGACAAATTATTCGTAAACATATTTAATTTTTTTTCGTTTATATTTATTTATTAAACTTAACAAATGATTTTAAATAATTTTTATATTCATTTATTAAACGAATCGAATATGAACAGAAATATGTTTGGTTCATTTATATTTGTGAACAAATTTATTTAAAACTCGTTCATTTATTATTCGTTTATAATAATCTAATAAAATTATATTTTTATTATTTATCATAATCTTATTTTAATGTTTGTTTATATTTGTTTGGGTTCATTTATATTCATTTAGGATTTGTTTGTTTAAATTTATTTGATTATAATTTGTTTATTATTCATGAACATATCCGTTTATTTATGTTTGTAAACTTGTTGGTTATCTTAAATTCTAAATCCTGAACTCTAAAATCATAAATCTTTAAACCCTAAACAAGTTCGTTTAATTTAACTAAATCAAATATGAACTAAACACGAATATTTTATCATATAAATGAACCAAACTCAAATAAACACAATAATTTTTTTATCAAATATAAATCGAACTGAAATACTTTTAAAAATAAACAAACAAACCATAAATATATATTTATTTATATTCGATTCATTTACAGTTCTAAACTTTCGCAGACTCTCGTAATTCTACCATCTAGATGTCACTTATCCTTTTAAGAGTGTCACCTGAACACTACTTGTCCTTCGTGAAATACCATAACACCTTTTGTCTTGGTTAAGCGAGCATGCGCAACACTTGACACGCCCCGTATAGCTCACCCTTCTTCCTAACATTCTTTGCACTCTACACGATCACTACTTTCTTCATCTCTTTCCTAATACAAACACTACTTAATTTGAACGTCAAAACGTGTATATCTCAAAATCATAATTCCGACTTTCTTTCTTTCCTCTATAAGTCAAGACTTGCTTTTTTTTTTTTTTTTGAATCACGTATGGATTCCACTTCATCAACTCATAAAACATGCTAACAATTTTTTTTTAATTTTTTTTGAAAATTCTAATAGTTATCTTTGAAAAATTATATGCTAACTTTAAAATTAATTTAGAAATGAAACGTTTTAAAAAGTTAGTAACGTTTTTAAGATGAAAAAGTTTTGTCCTTCGTATCGCAAAAACTTAAGTCGGCCTCCTTAGAACGGAAACAAGGAAAAAAGAAAAAAAAGAAGAATGAAGCAATATGATTCTATAATAAAATGAATTAGCCAAGTAGAGAAAAACAAGGGAAAAAAAATAGAAAAAGCAAAACAAAGAAAGATGTTTTCCGTGAATAAAACGACGCCGCCTCTTTAGTCCTTAGAGACGGTCGTTGTCTTTGGTAAGGAGGGCAACAGACTCGTTGTCAGTTTGTGACGAGTAGACCAATGTGAAAGAAAATTAAAAGTCAAATATAAGGGTATTTTAGGTAAAACGACCTTAAATCCAATTTACACTCTGCGATTTCATTGGCTGAACATTTCACCGTTGTTGTTTAACTAATTTATCTTCTCCATTTACCATTTTCGATCTTACGGCTAATGCCCACTGACCGAAGAAATCAACGGCTGAGATATTCCCCTTGGATTATTTACACGGGATCTGCCCGAAACTAAGTCCTAGTAACTGACTCGGGCAGCTCCGACTTCACTCTTCGGGCAGCTACAGATACAATCTCCAGTACATTTTTTCTTCACTCGCTTTTGAAAGACAACTGCTTAAATGTGAAAATTTTGCCAAATTAAGGGGAGGCCAGGCTACCACCACCAGCAGCAGCTCTCGCCACCACCGGAGTGCCTCGCCGACGACCGGTGGAGAAAGGTAGAAGAAAGTGTGTGTGAACCTTTGCTCTCTTGAAAGATGGGTCAGGGGCTGAGTTGTGGGGCGAGTCAAGAGAATGGTTTGTTTAGTGCAGTTCAAGTTGGAGACTTTGAAACTGTGGAAGCTTTGTTAAAGAGAGAACCCAATCTTTTACATCATACAACCGTCTATGATCGCCACTCTGCTCTTCATGTAGCTGCTGCTAATGGCCGGATCGAGGTGGGTAGTCAGTCGCCTTGGAGGTTTTTGAAGATTGTTTTTTTATTTTTTTTGGACTTAGTTTGGTTCTTTTTAGCTTTTTTACCATAGTTTTGGGTTGTTGAATCCATATTGGGTTTCATTTCCTTGATGTGAAGATAGTTTCTTGTTTTTTGTTGGTAGATTCTGGCTATGCTTTTGGAGAAATCCGTGAACCCGGATGTAGTGAATCGTCACAAGCAGGTAATTTTTCATTTTGAAAGTTTTAAATTCTTTTCCTTATCTATTTTCTTTAATTATTTTTTATTTTGTTCCCTTTTGAATGCTTTAGACTCCATTAATGTTGGCTGCAATGCATGGGAAGATCTCCTGTATGAAGAAGCTTATTGAAGCTGGGGCAAATGTGAGACATTTTTCTTTTTCTTTTTTTTTTTTCTTGAAAGTTGGAATTTAATTCATTTATGTGTATTCAAAGTATAATTTTGATTTGAATGATCTGATATATGCCTTTCAGATCTTAATGTTTGATTCCCTTCATGGAAGAACTTGCTTGCACTATGCAGCCTATTATGGCCACTCTGACTGCCTTCAAACCATCCTCTCTGCTGCTCAATCTAGCCATGTTGCTACTTCATGGTGGGGGTCTTTTTTTCTCTCAAGATTGTTTGACTCTTTTTCCCTAATCTATTTTGATTAATTTGGGTCATTGATATCGGTTTTTAGTTAATCTAATTTTTTTTGGATCTGATTTGATATCAGGGGATATGCACGATTTGTGAATGTAAAAGATGCTAGGGGAGCCACTCCCCTGCACTTAGCAGCCCGCCAAAGGCGGCCTGAATGCGTACATATCCTCTTAGACAATGGTGCTCTTGTTTGTGCTTCAACTGGTGGATATGGGTAAGAATTCTTGTGAAGTTATTGATCATAATTGATTTTTTGTATCAATCTTTTACAGATGAGTAAAATGATTGCTTAGCAATATGATTCAAAATTTCTTGTTTTTCAGTTTTCCAGGAAGCACTCCTCTTCATTTGGCTGCCAGAGGAGGATGTCTTGATTGCATCCGCAAGTTGTTGGCATGGGGTTCAGATCGTCTTCAAAGAGATGCATCTGGGTATGGTTTAATTATTATCTTCTTGAAGATCTTTTGTTCATGATGTTTTGAAAAAGCATTTCAAGAGATTCCTGAGTTAGCTTCATCACATTCGAGTCAATCTATTTGTCCTCAATGGTCTTATGTAAACTGGCGAGAGTCTATTCCTAGGCCTTGATCCTGTTTTCATTCATTTTATCTTACAATGTGCGAGGTAATACATGTCTATTTATTTTGGCTATAAATTTTGAGCTTGTTGTAACATATTTTTTTCTTTGGCTTATAATTATTTTCATTAAGGCTTGCTTTTGTTATGTTCTTATCTTTGCAGGAGAATACCGTATGTAGTTGCTCTAAAGCACAAACATAGAGCATGTGCAGCTCTGCTAAATCCTTCATCAGCAGAACCTCTTGTCTGGCCAGCACCTTTAAAGTTCATTAGTGAGCTTAATGAGGAAGCAAAATCGCTACTAGAACAGGCCTTAATGGAGGCAAACAGGGAGAGGGAAAAGAACATCTTGAAGGGAACAGCTTACTCACTTCCATCACCCTCACATTCTGATTCTGGGTTAGATGACAGTATTTCTGAGGTAAATATCAAATGCCTTCCTTAAAATGTTTTCTTTGCTTTTTCTTTTGCTTTTCTAATATTAACCAAATCCAGTTCACTAAAGTTCCATTGTTTTGAAAATTCCTGGGGCCAGTACTTGAACATTTCAGACCCAAAGCCATGCGTTCGTTTTTTATTTTAAGCTTAACTAACTTGGTTTTTGTTCAAAGTTAGTTTCTTTAACTCTGAATTATCAGATTTGACCCAAAGTTGCCGTATCTTTACTTAAGACTTGGACCATGACTCCACCGAATGTTTGTTAAAATCATTTACGGCATATCCTTTGCATTAAACTAGTATCACTAATTCTGATCTTGGCAGTTCTGGTTTCTTTGTAATCAAATGTATGGACTTGCCCCTGCTCTACGTTTCAATTGTGGTCCTCCTGGCATCAATATTAGTTCGGTCCATTATCAAATTGAGATGTGATACAAAGTCTTGAGGCTTTAGCAATTTACAGCATAAAACTTTGTACTTTAGCATGCTCTAAATCTATATTTAGGTCACCATAATCCATTTTTGGATTGAACCTACTATTTATCCGTTGGCTGTTCTGTGAATATATTGTGAAGGACCATATTTTCTTTCAGTGCATGAACTATTTATAACAATTGGCAGTTGGCAATAATGGAACTGATATATTCACTGGGGAAATTTGATGCAGGCTAGTGATACCGAAGTATGCTGTATATGCTTTGAGCAGATCTGCACAATTGAAGTTCAAGACTGTGGCCATCAGATGTGTGCACAATGCACACTGGCCTTGTGCTGCCACAACAAGCCAAACCCCACAACTGCGAGTCTAACACCCCCAGTATGCCCCTTTTGCCGGAGCACCATTGTCCGATTGGTGGTAGCCAAGATAAAAAATCATGATGATACTGATCATGACATTGGCGATGTTAGTTCCTCAAAGCTGAGAAAATTGAGAAAGTCAAGGACTTTCACGGAGGGAAGCAACAGCTTCAAGAGCTTATCAGCAGTTGGGTCATTTAGCAAGATGAGTGGCCGTGGCTCAGAAATGATTGCTGCAGAAAATGAATGGATTGATAAGCCTTGAAACATGGCACTTTGGCAGCTCTTGCTGATTGAAAGTTTCAGGTTGTTAATCAAGGACATTCCCTTTCACACGATGAAAGAAAAAAATGGCCGAGAAAAAAAAAATCAAGCAATCATGGTCAGGGCTGGTCCCATTTGTTATATATAGATATAGGTGAGGTCCATTTACCATGTAGAATTTGGGGGAAAATAAGCAAAGAAGTGAGTTGCAGGGTTGGGTTGTTGTAATCTTTGTTTAATGGAGATTAAAGTAGCATTATTCGTCTCGACTCTTTTAAGGTCTGTTAGATGCCAGAATTAGTATTGAAAGAAAAAAAAAACCAAAAAGAAAAAAGAAATCTTTTTTTCTTCTAAAATCTAAACTTTAACATTCATCAATGGCTGCTCCCTTGGAAAGAGTCAAAAAGTACTACATCTGTACATAGTCTAGAGTTGGGTCTTGACCCCACCAAACCACCATAACCTCAGAAAAATTGTGGAGAGTGTTGATTGAGATGTAATATATATTGGTAAAATTTTTTACCTGTTTATTTTTAGTATGTGAACCAAATTTCAAAATAAGGTATAAATCAGAAAAATCATTGTATATAAGTATTAAGTAAATAGGGTTCAATTATTGTATTTGAGTATTAAGAAAGGATGTCAAAAGATTCCATTTATTGTTAATGGCATTTAGGTTGGTTAGATATTAACTAGCATCTTCATTTTTATTTCCCTTCTAACATGATTACTTCCCATTTACCCATAATCTTAGTTTTTTTTTTTTTTTAATCATTATTATATGCTCTAAGTGGGTTGTACTTGGTAAGAAGTGCTTAGTTTTCACATTTCATTTTTAATTGGTCATAATTTAATTAGGTGCCATAGGCCAAATTGGCAATATTCAAATGTATTAAAACTTTCTTTAAATTTAGTATTATAAGCAATTTATTATTTTACTATTGACTTTTTACATTGATGAAACATGATAAACAATAAAACCATTTAAATGTGTTATAAAAATGATATAATTTAAAATTTTAATAAAAATTATATATAAATTAAATAAAATTAATAAATTAAATTATCAAATTTATTTTTATTTTAACTTTTTAAATATAAATATATATTTTTATGATTTGCTTATAGAAAAGTGTTAAAAAGTGATAGTGGGTCAAATAATTCCTTGTAACTTTGCAATTTGCAAACCTTTTGTCTCTTTGTTTAATTATTTTGAATATGAAACACGTAGTGATCATCTCAACTTTATTAATTGAATTAATTACTACGACTAATAACGGTAGTCAACGATAAACCATAAGTTTTCTATCAAATCAGGTCGTTTTTGCGTGACTTCTTAATATTATTAAAATATCAAGCATGAGAGAAAATATCTACTAGAAAGGGTCATTTTCAATGGATCTTTTGGATAATTGTGATACCGTACCGTATTAATTGGACATTATGGTCGACAATCACGCGTAAAAATATCATTTAAAATACCTGAAAAAGCCAAATTAATTTCTTTGCGAATTAATTGAGAGTATTTAATTTTCATACGTAAACGAGGCGGTGGTTCTAGTGGAGGTGGTATTTGAGGTTGGAAAAATATATAATACAAAAATAAATTTTAAAATTTTAATAATAATTATATATAAATTTAATAAAATAAAAATTATATTTTATATTTATATCGATATAAATTATAATATATAATTTTTATATAAAATATGATATAAATATATAAATTTTAATATTTTACGGGATTCGGATACATGAATGATTAAATTTTCTTACTTTTACAAATAAATAAATTTGTTCATGAATTATACCAATTTTGTTTTGAATCGAAATTCGATTGGAGATATTAAATTACTAACAAAAATTTAGATTAAAATCATTTAAGTCATTCACTTTAGAGGGAGGGTTGCCCACACATGCATGAAAGCAGCACTGGAACTCCATAACTGTGATCATCATTATCTAATCTGGCATTCTTTCTATTCTCAGCATCTGCACCATGACATGAGATTGATTCCATATTAGGCTGAGTCAGGGCAAGCTCAACAGGTCCATGGACTGTAGGACTCAGGCTCCTTCTATAGTCACTAGCAGCTCTTCTTTCCTCCGCCAGGAAGTGGCCAAGTGATGGAGCATTGTCTGCATTAACATTCTGATCAGCATCAGTATCATCCCTTGAGCATAAAGAAAAGAGCCAAACTTTTGATCTGTTAATGTTGCTCCTTTTTTCTCTTGTTGCTTCAGCTTTCCTTTCTCTTACAGATATTTTGGAGAGTTCCAAGATGCTAGAAACACCAATTACGCTCCCAAGTGTAATGCTCTTGTCATGGAAAAAAAGACCCAGTACTCTGAAATTCAAGCAAACAAAGAGTTCATGACATCAAATCCAGACAATAAGACATAAATTAAGTCAACAATCTTAAGGCACCCTTTCTTCATAATATCATGATATAAACAATGAGCTAAATGCCATTCGGGAAGTTGAAATCTCTAGTAATATTTCATTTCATTTACAGAAAAATCTGTCAGATTTCATCAAACATGTCCTTCATCTGACATCTGATATAGGAGCATCCAGCAGCAGTATTGCTCAGTGTGCTGACATTACTGTGTGAAATATCCACCACAAGCATATTGCAAAAAGTCATGCTGGCTACAGTTGTTGCAATTATTAAGTGCCGGTAGCACTTGACGGCCTCTGAACAAAAGCACCAAATAGCACTAGACTCTTAAAACTATGGTAGAAAGCAACAAATCAGACTCAAGATGACAACTCAAAAGCAGAGCTGTAAAAGAGTGTTTGTTTTTAAGTATTACTACTTTCCAGCAAACTTGGTCAAAAACCATTATATTAAATGGTGTACGAAAAAGGACGATTCAATGCCGCATTAATACCCAAAAAAGAAATGATTTAATAGCAAAGTTCCAGCAAATGGCAATAAATTGACTGTTCAGTTAGCCATTTACTACACTAAATCAACAAAAACACAGTTCTCCAGTAAAATTTCAAAACTATCAAACATATTTGTACATGGAGAAAACAACTGATAAAAAAAAACCAAAAGGCTACAGTGGGACGATACAATCATGGGTCATGAGTCATGACTGCTAAGACAAGACCAATGAAAATGTACCAATCTAAGCAAAATTTTTTAAACAAAATTTCTTTAGTTTCCGCTGAGGCTGAGTCACTGACCTCTGTGGCCAAGTCTGAAGAGGAATCTGTAGAGGAAGTTGGAAAACCAGTGACTATAGTGTTGAATGATATTGATCCTGAGTAGTCATGGTTTCTAGCCAGCCCAACTCTCGCATTCAGGGGCTGCAATCCTAGGGGCCAACCTTCTTCCTGCAATCAAATCAAATCAGAAATGTGTTCAGTACCCTCCGAACAATTAACATCACAGACAATAGAATGAACAAAAAAGAAACCAAAAAAAAAATGGAACTTATCATAACTGTACTATCATAAGAAGCAAAACAATGTGACAAACAAGAAGTAGACACATTATCAGAGAAATTATAAGAAAACAAAGACATTAAAAAAAAAATCTGAGAGACAACCCACGAGAGAATATCCAAAAGAACTAGAGAGAAGACAAGCATTACCTGTTGAGCCATGTATCTGTCAAAGTACTATTGAAGTTGGATGTTTGTGTTGATTGATCTTAGTAAAATTGATAGTTACCTCAAGTACTAGACATGAAATATGAACAAAGAAAAGAAAACAAAAAAAGAAAAAAACTAAAAACTATAGATTACTGAGAACTTGAGCAAAGTAAAGTAAACTACTTAACTCTATATAGATGTTTACAGTTACATGTCATGAAAGAGAGTTACAGACAAAGTAAAAACAAGCTGAAGATAGATAGTCAAAAAAGGTAACAAAAGAGTAAGAAGTCTTATCATTTGGAAGCATTCTTTTTCCTTTTGCTTGCTTTCCTTGGTTTTGTTGACAAGAAAGAAAAACAAAATCATTATGTGCTTTGAGAAAAATAAATTAATCAGAAGCAAAGATCCACGACAAGTTCAGATTCTGTCCTTCAAAATTACTTATATACCCAACTTGCAATTAACTGTGTTCTTCAAGACCTTAAAATGGTTGCCAGCCATTGACAAATGTTGTGATTTGTGAACTTGCTTTCCTTGGTTTTGTTGATCTTTTTGCCTTACCATTATCAAGTCAAGAGCATTTTGTAGCCATGCATGCTTCCAAAATGAACTAAAGCGTAATGATTCATGTTAATAACTCTTTAAGGTAGTAACAGCTTTATTTGTTGCTTTCTTGTTACTACCAAAATTTATTTGCTTGAAAATTTTTGCCATTTCGGTGCAAAAATATTATGGTAAAATGGTCATTAAAGAATTTCACCATGAGGTAAAGGGATCAACTTTTGCCTTGGTGGATGGCAATAACAAGCATGTATGAAAGAAAGTCTTTGTCATTGTCTTACCTCAATCGAGTATGTGCCTTTTCCTTTGGTCCACAAAATAGTGGTGTCAGCCCTAGCTTTTAACTTCTAGGACCCACAAAATGTGGGGCTCAAGGAACCCAATGAACTACTGTTTTCATTGCATCTTCAGTGTCCTGGCTCCGAAGGAAACCATATCTTCAGTATTTAATTCCCATAATCTGGATTGTGATCTAGCAACAGGCAACATCAGGGTCCACCAAGGACTTTACAACAAAGTTTACTCTCTTTTAGTTTTTTTTTTTTTTCTTCACTTTGGAACAGATTAGGAGGATTCAGTTTCTGCAAGCTTGCAAGACTTAGTAATTGGACTGGAACAACTCTTTTTTGTGCATCATAAAGTTACTTGCCTAGTTTCTGCCTGATTCACTTACAGAATGGATAGAATTTCTTCTTTCTACTAAGAACAACAAGAGCCGATCCCTATTTCAAGACATAGAAAGTTATACTGAATGAGTAAACAAAAATTTTCCTTTGTGACGCAATTGAACACAGAGGGGTGGAGGATTCATGTGTTAAATCCTGCCCTTCAGCTAGAGAGATGACAGATTGATTAGAATTGATGCAATGGACGCTAGGTTGAGCGGGCATTGGGGCCTTGTAGTATATATTTTCTGTCAGACGAGCTTAAGCCTTTGGTTTTGGGCACAAAAGTAGAGGAATGTCCAACCCAAGCGGCACAAAATCAGTTATGGCTTTAATCATAGGCCAAACCCACAACTTGGTTGACCATTGAGAGAATCAACTAATTCAGCTCATGGGCTTGCAAATGAAGAATCATTTTTGCCTTGGTACTTGAGCCGAGGATGATACGCTTTCTTCAATAGTATAATGTGGGCTAAGTTTTCGAGCTAATTAGACAAGATTCAAGGGCCCATTTATAGTTCTTTCACATTTATACAAAGGAAACAGAAATTCTGACGGATTATATGTCGGGAATTGCATGCTGCAGATGCTATTAAATCCCACCACAAAGCTAGCCGAAGTACCTTTTAACTATTACCAGGTTGTTTCGACGAAGATGAGAATTCTTCTACCCTGCAAGCCGTAGCGCATGGTTCATTTTTGTAACAAAAAGACATTATGGTTTGAGGTTAAAAGAATGGATTACCTGTGTTAAAATTTTATAAATTCCTGTACTTTGCAAAAGGGCCGGTGAGCGGATAACATCTGGCTCTGGTCTGTGGCTTTATTTACTGCCATGATAATTTCTGTCTGCCATCAGAGGGAATATGAATATCCCATTTGGGTTTGCTCACCCAAGTGGCACTAAAAACAAAGGAGTTTGTTTGCTTCCCTTGGGAGTTGGGAAAGTCAATGGCAACCCCATTTTCTTAACTCAAACAAAGTCAATGGATTCCATTTTTTGAGCACTCATCAGAAGGAAGAAAAAAAGAAGACTCCATTTTCATTTGATTCAAAAACTTTGACAGAGAGAACTCCAAGTCTATCTAGCTGCTTGGTGGGGTGCAGCCAAAAGCAATAACCCAATGCTCAAATCCATGATGACTTGTACTTCAGCTTTGATGTTTTGCAAAGTCCTTATATAGTTTTAGATCTGGTTTCTCTGACAAAACATCAAAAACAGGAATAAAAAGAAACTAAAACGTTAAAAGGAAGCTGAATCTAGCATTGATGATGTGAGAACATACTGTTATCTTAATTAGATAGAATGCCAATGCCAGTCTTAAATGGGAATTTCCATACAAAAAGGAAGAGAATATATAATATAAAGAAAAACATAAACGTGATATATATCATATCATTTGAAGTCACTTCCTTGTCTGACTTTCTTAATCTTGTTCCCAAGATCTGCAAGAAGAGCTGGAGGAAATAAAGACTCAATCTCTTTTGTCAAATCAAGTAAGATTCTCCGACGAAAAGCATTTTGTTTTGGTGATGGGAGAGATTTTGGTTTTCTTGGTGCAGGTGGGCACTTGAGCATGACAGGAATTTTGTGATCCAAAGAAGTTGGAGTGTTGAACCCATCATTGTTTTCATCGTCTTCACCATTTTCGTTTACCTTGAATTCTCCTCCTAAAGATGGCAATTTTAACTCCAATGGAGACATCAGCAACTTGCTCTTGTCTTCTTTTTCATCTTCTTGTTGTTCTTGTACTCTCTCTTCTATTTGTTGTTGAGCCTCATCATCAACATCTTGAAAAGGTGCAATTTGACACAGCTCTTCTTGGAATTCTAAAGGAGGTCTAGCCAAGAAACTGATTTCCATGGTACTGTTTAAATCTTTCTCAGAGAAGAACATCTCAGAAATATTGGACACACCCATGAATGAAAATGCTTTTAATTTTGAGTACATAAAAAAAAAAAAGAGATAGAATATTAATGTAAACAGTGAGAGAAATTAACCTAGGATAAAGAACCGGTGACTGATATTGAAGTACAAGAATAAGATCAGAGACGATCAGCTAATGCAAGAGAAGAAAGAATCCTGATATTGATATAGGAACAAAAACACCAAACAGATTTAATTCATCACATCATCAATTCATCATCTTTCTTGATTGTTCACTGATTTTTCTCTCAGCTTTTCTTTGGAATATAGCTCTCAAGATCTTTCTGATGAAAAAGAGAAAGAGAGAGAAAGAAAGGGAGATAAGTGTCTTTGACTACCCACTTCGGCGAAGGATCCAACGCAGCATATATAAAAACACCCACAAGAATCTTTCCTTTCACTCACTCTCGGCATATTTCTATATAAAAAGTCTCTTTCTAGCTTAGCTCTCTCTCTTTTTCTTTAGAGGGTGAAGTCTCTTTCAGTACTCTATCAAAAGGGTCAGCCATTAACTAACAATATAAATCTCTGATCTCTGCCATCTTAGATGCATCAAAGCACATGGTTTACTACAGGGAAGATCAGACCGTTTGATATAAGAATTACTACAACATTTTCCCGCGAGAATTTTGCATGATTTCTCATTATTGTTTGTTTGTTTTCAAAATCCAAGTAAAGTAAAAAAATTTCCATGCCTATGTTGTAAGTTTTGTGTGGCTTTTATGAGAAAATTGGCTTCATGGGGTCGCTTGCATTGGCCGTAAGGAGACATTATCGGGTGTCTGGTTTGCCGTACGTAGGCCATGACCATGTTGAGCTCCACTCCTTCACATTTGTTGCTACTCTTGGATCTCTTCCAAGGTGGCTGCCAGGATCGATGGGTTCTATAAATGTGTCTAGCAATGGATCTCTAGCAAAATCATTGCCATTGATTTTACTTTGCTTTCTTAATGAACTATATATTAATCATTGACCATAATTGAAGCCATAATTATAAGATATAGCAAGAGCATGAGATTATGTATGATTGATCCCAATTAAAACATAAATGTGTTTGACAAAATTATACGAAAAGAGATTAAATTATATTAGTGTAAAATAAAATATTTACACATTTTATAATTTTATATCTGATTAATATTTTTACAAATTAACAGTTAATTTTAACAATTTATTTGTATCTATAATGTATGTAATATTTCAAGTCGATTTGATACCTTTATCATTTAATTTGAATAGAAAATAGCATCTTTTTCAATATATATTATTAATTAAAATTTTATTATTATCAAACAAATAGTTAGACTTTTTAGATTAATTCAAATTTTGACATGTATGATTTACATGAATAAGTATAAAATTCATCGTTATAACTGACAAAATATGACCCTTGTATGATTGTAAAATTCGGATTAAGGAGAGGAAATTGAATCAATAAGAGAAAGGTTATTGAAATTTGGCTTAATTAAGAGATTAGAAATGGTTAAATGACAAGAAATTTAACAATGACCACTGATTCTCCAAAACCTTCCCCCAGATCCGATCATGCTGCTATATTAATTTAAGCCTTTGTTTCCAGTATATATTTACATAAGAAAGCTGCCTGCCTGCCCGCCTTGCCTTGGCTGCATGCTTCCACATATGGGTCCCAATGCTGGCCATTTTCATTCCTGGATAAGCCTTCTGCAAGGCTTAGGATTCCTGCGTTGGATATGGAGGAGCCTGTAGCAAATGGGAGATCATGGCTTTCCAATTAAACAACATATATATGTAATATACTAGTAGGCTTTCTGATTTTGGGAACTCTATGAGGGTTCATATTTATATCTTGAAATGACATATATACTATGATCAAATGAAAAATAAAAACAACAAATAATTGGTTCAATTGATTACAACACATCTTATCATGATTTGAGAAATTAAATAATTTATTTATATTTAAATTTTTCGTACCAAAAAAAATGAAAAATATAGTATAAATTAATCTTGAATTGATAACATCACGATACGAATTGAAGGTAGAGGTGGGGAGCCAATTGGATTGCTTGGATTTCACCGCATCACAAAAATATAACTTTTTTTAGTGCATGATTTTCTCCGTTGTATTTCTTTATTTTTACAGGACAATCACTGGTAAATTTTGCATTTTGCCTGCACTTTAATTTGTTCCTAATCGAAGCAACATTATAATATATGAAAATGGGTAATAAAGTAATTTATGAATTCAAAATTTTGTTTAATTAACTCATACAATCAATTTTAAAAAATAATATATTAACATGTTTAGTCTATTTTCATAATGTAGTTTCATTTGTATAAAAAACTATAAAATTATTTATTAATATCACTTGACTAAAAATGAAATAAATAAAAATGGTACGATAATAATGTGGTGTGGGGTATGTTAGAAATATATATATAGTATAGATCAAAGTGAAAACAAACTCTCATGGCACGTAATTGCATCTGATGCTCATGCTTAATGATTTTGCTTCCCATCTTGGATCATCATTTCCCCATCTCCAACAATCATCTCCCCACCACGCATTTCTCAACTTGCTAGTTGCTTTTGCTTTTCTTATGCCTTGCTTCTCGCTTCTCTGCTTTTCTTTTTTCTTTTGCCGCCATTGATTCATGTGTTTTCCAACATATGATCGGCGTTGGTAGGGCTTAGTTTCATGAGATAATTAACCAAGTCATGAAATTATATATATATATATATATTATAAATCAACTTGTTAATAATATTTTTTTTGGTTAAAAAAAGTTTAGGAGCATTAAGATTAGTCTATCTTTAAGATTAGGATAAACCATCGACCCACAACGAAATTTACGATCTTTTGAAAATTTTCGAACTTACAAATCATCTACTAACAAGAGATTATAGAGATTCGAATATAAATGCTTTGTATTCAAACTCTAAACTTTAACTACTTTAACCAACCTTATTGATATTAATAGTATTATTAGAGTGAGATAAAAGAAATTAATCTTAGGTTCATTAAATTAGTAATATCCTAAATGCATAAATATGATAAAAAAATTTTATTTATTATCAATTAATTTTAAGATTGAATATCAACTTTAAACTCTCCGAAATAAGCTTGTTATCTTTAGGCATGAAGTTATTACCATTTGGAAGGATGACTGTTGATCTTAGACTTATGTCACATGAATATTACAAAACATTTGGGCAAAATTATTTTAGTTTTTGTGTTTCCCCTTCCTTTTTAGTACTATTCCTTCACTATTCTAGAATTTATTTTTGTTTCATGATTGTTTTAATAAGTTGCGTATTGAGATTTCACACTTTTCTAGATAAGACTTAGTCAATAAAAATTTAGGCATTTATAAGCTAATAATTTATTTACACTAAATATTTGATAAGAATGAAAGGAATAATGGGTAAATGTGGGGCAATTTAAAAAAAAAAAAAAAGAAAAAAAGAAGAAAAGTTATTTTTTTTTCATTATTTTGGGTATATATGAAAGATGAAAAATAAAAAAAAAATTAAGAGTAAAATTATAAATAAAATTATTAATTTAAATTCAATGAATATTTTCTCTTATGTTTAAATTAAAGCAACTTTTGCTACATTTTTGTAAAATAAAATTTAATTGATATACTCCTAAAATAATTACTTCTTATAAAAAAACGCATGCACGTACACACAAAATGCTAGAGCACCATTGATAGATTATTATAGATTTACAAACCAATTGTTTTAACTTTTGATCAAAAAAATAGAATTCACAAATTTGAATTGTCTCTTTTTCCATTTATTGATAAGCTTTTTTTTAAAACAAAATTATAATTTTAGAGATTAGTGAAAAGAAATTGTAAAAGATCAAACTTAATTTTACTATTTTTTTTGTTTTAAAAGAGGACAACATCTTATTACATAAAAAAAAAAAAAAGACATTTGATTCAAATCCAAGCACTAATGTTTTCGTTAAAACTTCTGTAATCATTAGATCAAAAAATAAAAGATAATTTTATGAAAATTTATCTTTTAAGAAAGATAGATAAATCATTTGCATTATGTCTAGGGATCTATTTATCTTTGCAATGTTAATGAATAAATTTTTTGAAAAGAATGTTAATGAATAATTATGTTTAATAATAAATATAAAAATATTCCAAAAAAAATTATAAATATAAAGAAAAATTTTTAAGATGGATGGGAAACCGGTTTTACCGTTGGAGCGCTGTTGAAGCGGTCCTTAACCTCAAAACGAGCAGACAACCGAAGGACCCGGTAAAAAGTTTAAAAACAACTAAAAAATTTTCCATTCGCATTTTAAATTTCAAAAAGCGTATCATTTTTCACTTACCATTTTCCTTTTTCCTTTGAACCCAAAGGGCGGCAGCTCAGATCATCTTTCTCTGGTTTTCCTTTTGCTTTTGCGCAGGTGATTTCTGTTTGGTTCCTGAGAAAATATAGGAAAATTTAAAAGAGTACAGAAAACGAATAATTCACATTCCCGTTTTATCATGTAATATTACATAAATTGTTGATTTTCGACCTGATTTTGATTGCCATTGTGATAATTTTGGGTGTGTTTAATTGATTTAACGGCTCTTGTTCATTGTTCTTTAGCTTCTAATGATGGGATCTAAGGATGTTTTCTGATTTCATTTTCAATAATGTTCCAGGAATTAGCTTTATTTTTTGTGATTCTAATTTGTTTATCAATAAAAAAGATAAAGTTATGAAGGGTTTCTCTTCTACAATTTAGTCAATAGTTTTTCTTGAACTAATTGTTTGTGATAGATTATTTATAGTGGACTGGTAATTTTGTCACAATTTGTTTTGCATGCAACTTTCCAATTTCCCTGTGAATAGGGATGATTAGGTATTGTATCTTGGCTCATAATTGATTCAAATCATGCTTGTTGAATTGTGGACTGCTTCCCTTATTGTTGTGATGTTGATCTAATTCTGATATTTTATTTCAGCTGGTGATACAAGATGGCAGATGGTGAGGATATTCAACCACTTGTCTGTGACAATGGAACTGGAATGGTCAAGGTATCGGGTTTAGGATACTCTGTCTTTCATATTTTTATGAGTGATCTGGTGTTCTAAGGATTTGTCTTTAGATATATGTATGTTTTTTTTTTTTTTGGATAATGAAGATTTATGTATATGATCTTTTCTAATGATGCATTTTGCATTTTTTAGGCTGGATTTGCTGGTGATGATGCTCCAAGGGCTGTGTTCCCCAGCATTGTGGGTCGTCCACGTCACACAGGTGTGATGGTTGGCATGGGTCAGAAAGATGCATATGTTGGGGATGAGGCTCAGTCCAAACGTGGTATTCTTACTCTTAAATATCCAATTGAACATGGTATTGTTAGCAACTGGGATGATATGGAAAAGATCTGGCATCATACCTTCTACAATGAACTCCGTGTGGCTCCAGAAGAACACCCAGTTCTTCTCACTGAGGCACCTCTCAACCCGAAAGCCAATCGGGAGAAAATGACCCAAATCATGTTTGAGACCTTCAATGCTCCAGCCATGTATGTTGCTATCCAGGCTGTTCTCTCCCTCTATGCCAGTGGTCGTACAACTGGTAAGCAATTTTTTTTTTGGCCAAACTGTTAAGCAATTGACTACTCTCCATCTATGTACTTGGACTCGGGGGTGAGTGTTAGAAACGGGTTATGTTCAAATTTTTTAAGTCTTTACATACATTTGGAGGGTTGGACCTCCATTCCCATGTATGGATATGTGTCTGACACGGATACTTCAGGGAAAATTAAGAGTTGGATCAACATAGCTCTCAATCCCTTGGATAAAACTTGAGTTAAGCAATCTCAAAGTCAAATTTGCACTTTGTTTAAAGACATTCTTAATATCCTGTAGGATTTTTTTTTGTGGATTAATTAGGGAAAAATGTGAAGTGACCTCAAGTTGGTTCCCATTTCTCCCTACTGTCTTGTTTCTATTGATTTTGGGCTCATTTAGTGATTTTCATATTATAAAGTCTTCCCGATCCAATGCCTATTTACTTATAGTTAGAAACTAGGATCTGTATCTTTCTAATTTATGTTTGCTCATTTTTCATCTACTAACTATTCTCTACAATACTTAATGTAGGTATTGTTCTGGACTCTGGAGATGGTGTGAGTCATACTGTCCCCATTTATGAAGGATATGCCCTCCCTCATGCCATCCTCCGTCTTGATCTAGCTGGTCGTGACCTTACTGATGCCCTTATGAAAATCTTGACTGAGCGTGGTTATTCATTCACCACTACAGCTGAGCGTGAAATTGTGAGGGACATGAAAGAGAAGCTGGCATATATTGCACTTGACTACGAGCAAGAGCTTGAAACTTCTAAAACTAGTTCTTCCGTTGAGAAGAGTTATGAGTTGCCTGATGGCCAGGTGATCACCATTGGTGCTGAGCGTTTCCGATGCCCAGAAGTCCTTTTCCAGCCTTCCATGATTGGAATGGAAGCTTCTGGCATTCATGAAACCACATACAATTCTATCATGAAGTGTGATGTTGATATCAGGAAGGATTTGTATGGAAACATTGTTCTCAGTGGTGGAACTACCATGTTCCCAGGAATTGCTGACAGAATGAGCAAGGAAATCACTGCCTTGGCCCCAAGCAGCATGAAAATTAAGGTGGTGGCTCCACCTGAAAGGAAATACAGTGTCTGGATTGGAGGCTCCATCCTAGCATCTCTCAGCACTTTCCAGCAGGTATTAGCTAACTCTTGATGCTGACTTTATGTAGTTGCTGTTAATGACAAATTGACAATTATTCACAGAACAAACTAAAGACATTTACTCATTGTGATTGGACTGCAGATGTGGATTGCTAAGGCAGAGTATGATGAATCTGGCCCATCTATTGTGCACAGGAAGTGCTTCTAATTCTTCAGAGTGCAAGAGGCGTAAAGTCTTGTTTTTTGGCAAACCAATTTCAGCTTGCAAGTTTTTGATCTATGCCGGTTCTCATAAATTTATTTTGTTTTCTATTTCCATTATTTTCTTAATGTTCATATTGTTGAAAAGTGAACTAAGAACGGTGGTGATGATGATAGAGTTCAAATTCATTCGTTTTTATTTCCCTTTAGCAGTTCTTGAACGATTTTCAGGCAATGCCATCCAAAACTCTTTGTGATTATTGTCAATTCTCTAGCTGTTCCATTCTCTCCCATATTCGACCCAACGAGACAAAACTTGGCTCGGATAGGTTGTTTTAAAAACAATCCAAGGTCCAATAAAGGAACCCAGCATGAAAGTGATTCAACTAAAAAATCTCTTGGGTCCAAAAGGAACCCCAAAGATCAGCTGACCCAACCCACGAGCTTTTCTATGCATCCTCTTACAAACCCGTCCAAGAAATAGTGTTTAAATCAGCTTGACAGGCCAAGATTCCATGCCTAGCAGCGAAGGAAACGCTTGGGATAGCTAAAATTTTTAAGCGCTCAGGGATTGAAAATATTTGGCTAGAAATTTAATTAAAAATGACAGGTTTTAATGGCTGATGAGGCATCCGCCAGACTCCCCCAACGCCAATATTGCATTTACTCTCAATTCCAAAGTAGTTAGCAGTTATGAGCAATTATGAGCAATTTTTAGCCAAGTAGGGTCCTGTTACACCTCATCCCAGGGCGGTCATTTTGCTACGTGGAGTGAGCCACTGACATGAATCACAAGGGTTACTGAAAAGGAAGGTTTTTCTTCTTGTTCTGCACAGGGTTTTAATCAATTCTTCAGCTGACAAGAAAAATGGACTCCCTCTAAACTTTACTTCATTTAATGGGGTGTGTTTAGTTGTGCTTTGTGTCGGTGTAGGTTCATTGATGATCTTCCCCTAGACAAGAAACTGCTCTATCATTAAATGAGCAAAAAGGGTCAGCACTTGACATTGGCTGCTGCTTGAAATAATAATACAAGTTTAATCAATTTCCTTCTGGTTCTGGCTGCTGACTTTGAAGACAATGATCTGCAGACTGCAGAACTTTAATTTGAAATGATCATTTTTACCTTTAACATGTTAGTTTCAAATGAAATTACAAATGGGCAAATACTATCTGGTACCTAATGACGATGGTTAAGGTGTTATTTTGAATATCTTCAGTACTGTAAAGGCATGAGAAAGGCTTTAACAGCTTTTGCTGATAAGCCAAAGCATTCGGGTTGAAGAAGACAAGAAAATGAAGAAAGTTGGAGATGTTCTGAACATTTGAGTTTGTGCAGATTATCAATGGCTTTGATGTAGGACAAATCAGTTTCAATAGCTTCTCAGTTAGATTCTCCAGAGAAGTGTTCATTCATCAGGGGGAATATTGCCTGCAGAATTGAAAGTACATATATATATATATATATATATATATAGATATATATATATATTTGAGATGCTTCCAAGCTTTTAAGCATCCAATGCAACCTTGTTAACCTGAAACGAGGAAAAAGCTATAAAACAAGTTCAAGGCAAGAATATTTGTCTAGCATAATTTTTGGACCATGCCAGTCTTTTGTTTACTAAAAGAAAAGGCGCAGATGCTCAACTAGTGTTGCCAAAATTATGGGCTGTTTAGAGAAAGAACTACAAAAAGTGATAGTGGGGATAATGGATAATGAAGAACAAAACCCTTTCTCAGAAGGAATGTCATTTATTAACAGAAAATTACAATTTCTATGACAGTTTATAATCAACATGAACCAGCTTTTACACCTTTACATCCCTCACCACCCAGTACATTTTCACAACTGAGTTCCTCAAACCTCCGAGGAGCTTAATTGCATGTTACGTACAAAGGTGAGCAGGAAAAAACCGGCAAAAAGGGAAATGCCGAACTTTTGATTTCTCTATATCTTCTATCTGTAGTTTTCTCTACTTATACACAAGATCTCCATATCCTTCCCTCTAAAGAAATAACTATAATGGAAACATCGTCATGATACCGCCGTCTATCACCTTGTGGTATTTCAAGTAACTCATGAAAGTCCATGCCTGCAATAACCATCATCAAATATATTAAATTTAGTGTTCTTAGTAGAATCTATAATGAGGAAAAAAAGAAGAAAAAGGAATGTTAATCGAGACTGATTTTTGAATGGTACCAGCTTTCTTTGCAGCTCGGAACAGCACTTCCTCAACAAGATGCTGAGCAGGATCTCCTTCAGGTTGCAATGTGATGAAAAGTTCAACCTCAGACACAGCCTCCTCGTTTGTTAAGTATTGATAGAGCCCATCAGAAGATAATATCAAAAATCTGTCTTTGGGACCTAATTTGTGGTGATGGACAGATGGTACACAAGTGATATATGGAGAAGTTCCTTTGTAATCTATTCTGAACATCTCTAGTAGTGCATTATTCCATTTAGGCTGCAAAATTTCAAAGCGAAATGAGGTAAGTTAAAGAATTTAATCAAAAATTTTCAAATCTAATCAAACAAAATCTCCAAAGGCAAATGCAAAAACTAGCAAATATATGCTCTTAAGTTCCTTTGGTCCACCACATTGCAGAAGGCTGTGTTTTCCAGAGCAAATCACTTGAAAATTAAAATAGTTGGATTTAAATAGATTATTTGATCTCTCTTTTATCAGGCAAATGATCACAACCCTAATTGATTTTTCACAGAAAAGGAAAGCAAAAGATCTATTTCTATGTATGCTATTCATCTTATTGCAGAATGTCATTTGGCTCTTCTCTTCTGAAAAGCCTTATTCTTTGGACTTGCAGCTATAGCTTTACCCATTTGTAACAATATTTCCTAGTATCTCATCTGCTCTTTATATTTTCTATTTTGGTGTGCGCGTTGGGGGGGGGGGGGGGGGGGGGGGGGGGGGAGAGTGCGAGAATAGAAAGAACTGCAAGTCTGATGTTTCGCATTTTAGTAGCTATTGCCAATGATTCCTAATAGATCACACAGTATGAAATCTCGGAATTAAACAAAGCTTGTTGCCGATCGATTTCAATTTGCATTTGCATAACTATGGCTATAACTAATGTTTTCCATGTGTTGCTTTCTCAGAACAATGCTCCAAGAATCAACTGTAACTTGGCCAGTTCTGGACAACATTCATTATAAAAGGGCAAACCTTTTATGCTGAAGCCAAATCTAATTGAGCATATTCTCTTTAAAGTAGTTAAAAAAGTTAGAGCGATAGTTACCTGTTTGAGAAAACCAGCCCCAAAAGCACGCGTAACCTTCAAAGAACCTTTAACCCGGTCATTCATCACCGAGTAAGCATCATCCGGATGTTCATATATTATTCTTTGAACTTCCTGAAAAGAAACAAGAATCAATCTCGATCCATCAATGACCAAAAAGGATATCTAAATCATTTCATTTTGTACTTAAAGATCAGTCTATGAGATTTTACCTCTTCTACACCGGTGCTATGATCCACACTAAGCTGAAAAGCAGCTAAATGCGGAATTGTTCTAGATCTATCTTCATCAAGACCTTCAAGATCATGCAATGTTTCTTCGTTAATCCTCTCCAAATCCTGTCTAGCTTTCCCCAACCAATAATCAGGCTCCGCCTTTTGCGCCAAAACTGCCCTACTATCCCCAACATTCATCACATAGACATCCTCACCTTTCATCAACATAACAAGCACACAAGAACCCATCAAAGCCAACTCTGGATTCTCCATCAACATCTTATCAGCAATACCCAAATAAGACTCCTCTGTTTTCTTCAAAGCCTGAGACAGAGCTTTCAAAACATCAGCATGATTTATCATTGATCTTGATCCATCAGACTTATTTCTATTCAACTGCTCCTTCAATTTCCTATCAAGTTCTAATCTTTCCATATCCCATTCACACTTCCACCTCCTTTGATTTTCTTCCCACCTCTTCGCCACGCCTTTATACTTCAAATTCCTTCCTTTTTTCTTTCTTGAACTCCAATTTGAATCTATATCAACATCTTCTTTCTCACAGGGGTAATTCCCTTGCTCCATAGACCGGGAACATGCATCATCGGAACAACCCCTAGCCGGTTCCGGTTCCCTGCTCTGTTTTTCTTCTTCAGGGGAAGCTGCAGGGGCGTGTTCAAACCCATCATCCCACAACAAGCCCTTGAGTTCTTTATGAACATTAGAGTAAAGATTTGATAACAAAAAATCTGGAGCATCAGGACCGTTGAATCCATCATAAATCCCAACAAAAACCCATCCATGTTCCTCCGAAACGACGACGTGTACCCGATCTTCTCCTGCTTTCCCCTGTGCCCATTGAAGATTTTGACTTTCCATCGACTCATCATCGTCTAAACTACCTTCCCTGCTAAGATTCAAACTACTGACCGTCGAATTCTCATTGTGATGATGAATCGGGTTCTTATCGGACCCGATTATCCATTCGGGTTCTTTAACTGAAACGACACCTTTAATCGGTGCCACGACGGAAGTTTGGCCGCGAGAAACGGTTTTTGAGATGGTTCTTTGGAGAACTCGAATTAAAGATCTTTTTCTCGATCTGGGTTTAAAAGCAAAAGCTCCATGAGAAAAGCTTCTTTGAAAGTTATCGGAAAAGCCTTTTTCGAGCGGACCCGAAAATAACCCGCGATTGTAATTATTACTGATATTATCAAGGGGACCTGACATGAACCCTCTCTCAATCGGACCCGACATGAACCCTCTTTCTAAAGGACCCGAACCCGGAACGAGGCCACCTGACATCGGACCCGAAGAGTTAATCAAATTCTTCGGAATCGGTTGCAACGGGATCGCAGAAAACGACGTCGTGCTCTCAAAAGCCGCGGCTCGATCGAAACAGCTGCTATTGTAACTAACGTACAGGTCCACCAGCGCTGTCGAAAGAGGCGTATACGTGTTGGCGCTAACGGAGGCTCCCGAGATTGTGCCGAAAGTCGTGGCGAACTCTTCGGAATAGACCTTGGACGAAGAGAATCGGGTCGTGTCCGGTCTGACGTAGCAGAAGGTGTGACCAAGTCCTTCGTCGAGAGGATCCGATAGTAACATGGAGATTTCCTTTCTACGACGAGCTTCTTCTCCGTCATATCCACCACCGCCGGTGAAGCACATGCTTAATTTGCCGAAACCGTTACCCATAACTAAAAAAAAGAGCTTTTCTTTCTTTTTGCTCTTATTTTCGCTCTTAAATTTACAGAAGAAAAAGAAGAAGAAGAGGAGCTGAGGGCGTTGACTTTTGTTAAGGAAAAGAGCAGGCTGTTCAAAACGAAGAAAAAAGACAGGTTTTTTGGGTTTCCATTTTTATTAATGTTTCATGCTTTTATTTGTTGGGACAGTGAGTGGGGCGTTGACCACGAAGGGGGGTTAAGTGAACTCAGTTAAGGTTTGGGGGCTTTGAAAGCTTAGATTGGTGGTGTTTTAGTGGATGGGTTTATTCCAATCTTAATTCAGTTTCAGTTTTGAGAGCGTGCATACACGCTCTATCACAAGTTGACAAAAATGCTTTGAATTTTGATGACTTTTATATCGTTAATTTTGGCGATTTGTAAAATTTTTTTTTAAAAGAAAAGATTGAATTTAAGATTTAAATTTTAATATTTATAATTTTTTATTTATAAATTATAATCTTATTTATAAAAAAAAATTTAACAAATATTTTAAATCGATCATTTCCTAAGAAATTAGAAGATTAGCTATGTCAACATTTCCCTTTCATAAAAAACATTTTGTAAGCTCTTTGGAAGAGGTTTAAAGATTTTTGTTTAGAGTGAACTTGTTTTTAATTAAAAGTTTAACCTTTTAACAAATAAAATTTTTGCTATTTGAATTATTAAAAATGATATCTTAATTCATAATTAAATATTTTCTAAAAAAACTTAAACTCGTGCACAAGATTCATAAAAATATAAACAATATATCTGATAAAATTAAAAAAATAAAATTTTATAATTTTGTTCATTTTTTTATACTATTCATAATTTTGTTTATAAGAATTAATGAATCTTTTATTTTTATGTTAACGTTTAAGCATTCATGTTTTTACAAGAAAACTAATTTTCTTGATTGACAACAAAATAAAAGTGTTAAATGAAATAAAATGAAATTTTTTTAGAAAATTGAGATTAAAGTGTTAACCACGCTCCAAAGGGGAGATTTGGGGAAGAGTTTGGTCAAAGCGTGGGAGGTGAAAAATTGAAAGAGGTCATAAATTCTGGCGTATTTCCAAAAGTCAAAGAGCCACCACAAGAAAACTGCTCTTTAAATATACCTGAAAAACGTGCCACCATCACCGTTGGATCAAGAGGAGAGGTTTGGTAAAGCAATTTTGACTGACACCTGGTACCTCAGTAGTGACATCTGGCACCTCTTATGTCAACGCTACGTTCCCCGAGTACGA